TTAAAATTGTAGATAACAGCACTAGAATTTTTCTAATCATTCTCATTCAGTATAATCAAACCTAACTGAAGCTTAATTTATCTTATCACAGTAAATTTGACTTTAAAAATGCCATTTAAGCTATCTAATTGAATATTATTTTATAAGGCAACAAGATAATGTGCTGTTTCTGACTGAAATAACCTGTTACACCATTATTATTTCGAAATAAAAAGCCTTACATTTCAAGTGATAACTAATGTCAACATTGTAACAAAGTAAAGCAAAGGTTTTGTTCCAAATATTCTGTGCTGTCTGCATTTACCTGCTCTTAAGAATTGCAAAGAAGTCAATGACTTCCCAGCCTTTCTTTATAAACAGATTCATTTTAAAAGAGAAATGGATTGCAATAGATATCTATTATCATCATCCTTCCTCTTCCATTTTATTATTTTTTGTTTTAAAACGTGGATGCTCAGATTTTACATATCCTTCTCCATTGACAAGACTAAGCTTATAATTTACAAATTCTCTTTGTGGAGATATTCAGATTTCACAATTCATTGATCTGCACAAAATACGTCTGCCAGTTTATGTCTGTGCTACCTAAAGCAGTGATACTCTGAAGTGCTAAGGTAGTTTGTGTCAGAGCTGCTTCTGAAATTCTGAGGAATTTCAGAAATTCTGAAATGTTTTTCTCCACTGAGATACACAGCTGAAGTGAATGTATTCTCACCAATTTACATCAGATTTCTTCCTGATGGTAAGAGCAGAAGTTAAATACCAGTATACAAACATAGTATAAAACTGTACCATCTTTCACTTTTCCAAGTAACAGTAATCAAATTTGTTTAAATCAAAAAGGATCATTTGAGCTATTTAACCCCCTTCCTATTCTTTAAAAGGCTTCATTTTGAACTTTAACATATAAAGCTTCTACACAATGGCAAAGAAAATCTAATCTAACATCCTTCCTTTTAGCAATTCTCTGTGGAGTGACATTTTCAGTATTCTGTAGCTGGAGTAGCCTGACCTTGGCTCACTTTTATCTGACCACAGCGTTGTCACATCATTAATAAGCACAGAATCAAAACAAAGGCTATATACATCAGGGTAAGAAAAGTTTGCATGGTTTGGCTATATTATCATATGTACCCTTAAAATGGAACAAAACGAAATGTATATAGCAGAGGTGGTGAACCTTCTAAGAACTGGCTCCAAACTTTTTTCCTGGCAATAAACTATTTTCAGACCTCCCAACTCTGGCCACCATGATAGTTATTGCTTTACAGGATTATACTCTTTTGTTTCAGCCGTCAATAAAAACTTCAGATGATAGCTTTTTAAGTCAAAGAAGCCTATAAAAAAAACCACTGACATCACTAAGACAATGGAAAAACAGAACAAAAAGCACATCATGTTTAGATCTAGACTTAACATATTTACTCTTGGTTTTATTAATTTTCTCTGAGCATGTGACAAAAATCCTTTGTATTTGAAATCTTTTCCACTTACCTTTTTTCAAAGTATATTAACTATGTTCATCAAAAATTCCAGATGCCCTCTGCTATTATAAGTATATGTAAATACCCAGAAAATACTGGTGATGCTTTTTAGCAGTAGTTAATATTCTGCAGAGACTAAAAGATCATTATATCTCTGCTTACACTTCATTTCTTACTACTGAAACAAATTGTTATTATAAGCTCAAATTTAAATCATCCTTGAAAAAAAATGTTTTAATTTTGGTGACATCATGAAAATCCCAATACTTGATCCAATACTGTTCAACTCATTAATTATCTGGATGATGGGAGCAACATAAACTCCCAGAAAGTTTGCTGATGACAGAAAACTGGGAGGATACATCAGAGGCCATGCTGCCACGCCGAGGGACTGAAGAAAAGGGCTGACAGAAATATCATATTGATGCTATTGCTTCATATGCAGCTGCTGCATCCAAAACCTGAAGACAGCCTTAGGGTACTATTATTAAGCCAAATAATAAAAGTCTTGTTATAAAGCAATTAAGATCAAATTAAAAAAAAATTATTTTAGTACAGGATTTACTGAACTGAATTGATTAGTATAAGGTGATTACAAAGTAATCCTGTTTAGGCAGGGAGTCAACATTGCAACTACCAACACTTCAGCTCAGGATTAGAACTGACCTTTTCTGGTTACTTTTACTTCCAGAAAGAAGCCCTCCCAGGCAGGTTATGAGCTTGTTTTAGGACAGCATGAAATTCTACAGTGATAATTAACAAAATATATTCTGCAAAAAGAAGAATTGGACATGCAGAAAGAAAGGAGTGGGGCTTTATGCAGGCCAAGAAGTTATTAACTTTACTCATCTGGGAACTACAAACAATACCTTGTACAGCACAAAATTCCTTCCATAATGTTTTCCACCTGCTGGAGGGCTGCCATTCACCCTGCATCTCCCTGCAGCTGCTTTTCCATCTACTGCTGGAACCAAACGCCCTCCCTTTAGATAAGACCTGAGGCCTGAATATAGAAGATTCATGTGCTATAAGCAGACAAAATCTTTCCCTAATTCTACACTGCAGAAAACAAAACCTGCTATGTTCAGAATCAATGTTGTATTATGACCATAGTACAGATAAGCTTTTTCAGCTTCAAACCCAGGTCTCAGTGCACAGATGACAAAATCATATTCTAATTCCACATCCACCTTCAATGGTGGTTGCATGTTCACCCATGTAAAGCACACTTGCTCATTTTCAAGTGTTTAGCAAGATGAACCTTATTCTTAATGCACTGAAAGCCCTATCGTGGCTCTCTTGGCTCTCATGTTGCATAAACTGTTTCTTCTATAAGAGAAGTATGAGCTTTGTTAAAGGATCTTTTGCTTTTTTTTGTTGTTTAACACATCTTAACACTTATATCAGAAACAAAGTTCCTATGGCCTTTGCTGATACTTAGGATTACACCTATATCACATTTGGTCTCACAACCTGTGGTAAATGTAGAATTTCCCACAAAGATTCACAAAAGATAAACTTTCCCTTGACTGAACCACAATTCTCCAAACTAAAGCAGCTCCTTTTACAAGACAAGACATTCACAAGTACTGAAGAAAAATACAATTGAGCTGTATGAAGATTATATCTGTGAAATGGTTATACAAAAGACTTCCCATAAAACTAAGAGTAGGTAAAAGGGAGTTTAGAACAGATTTACTAGATCTACACATTATGAACTTTCCTGTCAAAGTTGTAGTTCTAGTTCAGTTCTGTCATTCATAATAAAATGATTTTCATATGTTTCAGGAAACAACTCAGTAACAGGAAAATGCTGTCAGAAGACACAAATTTGCTAACTGAAATGCAAAATTAAAATAACTATTTAATTTTTATTGTTGTTTTTTTGGCCCACAGCACAGTCAAAAGATATAAGGAACAAGTAAGCGTGCAAAAGAAATAAAAGAAAGAAGTAGGCATTTCCATCCTGAAAAAGACAAAATGCAAGCAGCATAGACAGCTTGATTTCAACTGCCTCATAGCTAACACTACACCTCAAAGTTTTTGGCACCCAATGAATGGGCCCTAGTTCATAATTTTTACTGAGATGCCTTCTTGCAGTTTATGTCCTTTCTGGTTCTGTTTAAACAGTGATAAGAAGCAGTGAAGCCAATCTACACAGGCTGCTGTCCAGCTTTTGCACTGCTCAGGGCTCTGGCACATTTCTACAGGATACCCATAGTTTAACAGAATCTCTCCAATAAACCAGTCTGGAAGTTGTAACATACTAGTTTGTGGGAAAGAGGCACTTTTGACCAGAAGAACTCCCTAACATACAGAAAAGTGGTAAAAAATTTGCTGAAATCCAGACCATCTTCAAAATATGTGAATAATGCATGATTACAATAAGGACATCAGCTATGCAGAAGCTTTATTTTCTGATCTATAGATTTTCTTGGACACAAGTAATTCATTTGTTGTTCTTGATTGTCAAAGAAAGCAAATAACATTCTTACATACTTATATATCAATTTATAATAAATAATTATCATTTTATTCTTTTTTTTACCACTGCCCATCTGCCAGCAGTAAGATTGTGATGTTTTGAATATATGCTGGTCTGATAAAGAATTAGGAAATCAAATTAGTGGAGAGCCACAAGAATTCAGCATTATCCTCAGCAGCACAACAGGTACTACAAACCTTTCAAAACAGATTTGCACAGTTGAAGATTATGTTAGACTCTCATACTTTAAGTAACATACTTCTCTGAAAAGCTGCACTGTATAACTGAATTTCACTGACATTTGTGTTCTTGAAAGGGGTGCACACCTTAAAATAAAATAAAAAGCAATCTAAATAGTACTGAGTGTTCCAAGTCTATGAAGTGGGTTTGTTTGTTTAAAATAAAAAAGAACAGACAATATTTTTAACACTGGATTCCATTAAATGTAATAACCACCTCAACCTCGTATTCCAATACCCGTATTTTTATTATCTGATTTTGTAATACGTACATAACTCATGCATTGACCCAAATTAAAGAATGGAACTAACTCATACTTTTTAAATCAAAGACTGTTGCATTGGAAAGAACCACAGATTAATATCAGGTACTCTTGAACAGACCCCTTGAAAATTCATTAGGACATTAATTCTTCAGACTAGAATTAAAAAAGCATCAGACCAGAGCAGTCAAAACCAAAACTGAGTAAGTTGATAGATGAAAAAATGAAATCACAACAATCAAGCCATTTGGCCATAGCTCCACCTTGAACCCAAAGAGAATTAGGCGCAGTTTCTTAAATTGCACTCACAGATACTTTAAAATAAATTAGACAAAAAGATCTGGTGTGTGACCTAATATATAGATAGATATAGATACAGGTATCAAATAGATTGATATTTCAAGGGCTTAAAATTATTTCACTATACTTCAACAAATTGTCTTCTATAGAGATTTGCAACGTATAAACAGCTCAATAAACGTTTTAACTAAACATTCGTATCACGTTTTATGATCAGAAGATACCATACCTCTGTCTGAAGTATGGCAGCTCTCTGTTCTTTGGCAGTAAGTGACTCTTTAAGCACTTCAATGTGTTGCTTGCAATCTGAATTCTGATTGCTAAGGGTTTCAAGCTTAGTTTGTAAGGCAAGAAGTTCTGATTCTTTCTTTGAGAGTTCTTGTTTCAGTTGGTCAATCTGTAATGGAGAAAGTAAACAGTTTAATTGTTAATTTTATTTTCAATTCATGGGTGCACTAGAAATCTGGAAAGTGAGAAAGAACAAAATAATAACGCAACTCATATCTCCTGTAAATTCTGGATGAGAATTAGGATGCGAATTGTTAAAATAGTCACAACCTCATGTAATTTCAAGCACTCTGTTTTAAGAATGATCGTCATGCTCTTGCTGAAATTAAAAAGGAAATTCTTAAAGCTTAAACATGATGATTTGGCCTATAAATTAACCACAGAACTCACTTAAGTTCAAAAGAATTCATCCTGTGTGAGGTAAATCTGGCGGGACAGAAAACACGCATAGGAAAAAAAGTTTTCATAAAAGTATAAATTCAATCCAATAGCCTATTCCTTCCAACAGCATGATTCTTGTGACTTAAGTTATCATTGGTTCAAGTGAATCAAGGCTTTTAGGAGTCTGATGACAAAAAGCAGGCATCTTAGTAAAGAGAGGAAAAAGAAGATTAGTAGAAATTTAACATTACTCTTCTTGAAAACTTCCTGCTGCCCACTGTCCCCACCTCCATTTTTCCTTTCTGGCCATTCCTATGGAATTCCAGGTACTAGAAAAGCCAAACCAAAGAGATTAGCTTAAATGAAGTCTGAGAAAAACGTTAGGAAAAAAATTCCACCGAGTAAAACATCTGTGAGACTGCATGTAAAAACATATCCTAGGGGAAACAGTAGAAACACATACTTATGTCAATCTGGACGTTAGGAAATACTACTTTTCTGAAAGACTGCTCAGGCAGTGGAACAGGCTGCCAGGGAGATAGTGGAGCCACCAAACCTGGAGGTATTCAAGGAACATTTGGACATTGTATTGAGGGATATGGTTTAGAGAGAAATATTGGTGATAAGTGGATGGTTGGACTGGATGATCCTGTAGGTCTTTTTCAACCTAGGTGTTTCTGTGACTTTTAGGAAGGAGCTTCTGAATTCCAAAGTAGATGTTATGGAACTGTGATCATTCTTTCCATAATGCTAAGTATGAGAGGTGGCCACAGAATGCAAAAGAGAAGTAGATTTAGAATACACAAATCTGAACAAAGCACTGGACAACACAAAGAGTGATGCTAACATATGGCAAATTAGGTGATACGTAACAGTATTTTTTGAAGTGCTGTGAGGTAATTCTGGTCACCAGATGAGTTCAGATATATCATCTCATGAGAATTATTTGAATTAAGAATCCTCGGTGCAGCTGCATAGTTCAGGGAAGCCATGTTTCCTTTATACTTGGAAAGTTTTCTTGATGACTTTAAGTAGACCTATAAACCTTTGAAATTCAAGTTTCATTTCTGCAATGATAATAGAAGTGCTATAACAGTGTTTTTTATTCTCTTAACTCAATTGCATCCCAACAGACATTTGGAAGCAAGAAATCTAGAAGGGCTAGATAGGTTATTCAAAAGGAAAGAATAATGAAAAATATATATGTATTCACATGTAAGTATGTATATCCATATGTTGATCTCACTAAGCTTTAATTCTAAAGATTCACAGATTAAATACTGCATAGTGGAGTCACTGGAAATATTTTCTGCTGATCAAACTATTTCTTTTATATTTAGTTATGCATTTTTCTACATTTTGTTTTGTTACATATTAAATAAAAATACTATTTCTTCCAAAAATATTTTCCATATGCATGACAATACATTTATTCCTTATTTCTCTCCATAAATCTCAGTAGATCTGCATACCTGGTTAAGGTACTTGGCCAGCCAACCCTGAGCTACTGTATGAAATCAAGAATCCATGTAAGAATTAAAAACAATCATTAATCATCTTCACAATCTTGAAATATCAAAATAAGAAAAGCAGCATACAAAAAATAATAATAATTAAAAAAACAGATGTCAAGAAAATATTAAAAAGGGCAGTTAGGAAACTGCAAGAGAGAAAATTCCCTTGAAACCAAACCACCTTCTTCCATCCCTTGCCAGAACATGTTAGCAAGTATGGAAACTGAGACAAAAACGTACATGAAATGAACAATGGGAAAATCTGTCTACAGTATATGAAGACAAAAAATAGATCTGTAGCCAACTTGAATTACATCACATGCATTATATGAGACCCACATGAACATCAGAAACACTTAATCCTCCTAGAAACTCTTCCCACTTTTTTCCAGGACACAACCCACACTCTGAGAAATAATCAACCCCTTTCCAAAAGGGGTTTTCATCACAGGTATGTTCTTTGTGTTTCAGAAACAGAATTTGTTCTTTCATTCTGGCTACAAGACCCAGAAATAGCCAGAAGTTTAAAAATTGGCTATAACTCTCAAAAAAAAAATCTGTGGTAAATAATTATTCCTTTGGCTGATGTTTAATTAAAGTATAAAGATGAAAATGTACTAAAACTTCAATTTTAAAAATGATGTATCAAAAATATCAAAGGCATAGGAAAAAAACACATTACTTTTAAAGATAAGTTTTTACTTCTGGGTATATTCACTTTCTAAAAGCCCTGAAGAAACTGAAGTCTATTAGTCTGTAAAAAAAAAAACAACTCAAACGGCCTGAAGCCATTTTCTTTCCTGCAGATGTGCATACATTTTCACTTTGTTATAATAAGTGGTATAGAATATCAACAGTCATGATTCGGTGAAATCTTCCAATAAAAAAAAGAAAGTGAGAACATTTCTGTACTTTATAAAGACCACAATGAAAAGAAAAGTCTACGCACTACAGCATTCACAGAACTCTGATCATGACCTTCCCATTTCATGTATTTAATTTGCCTGTCACCACTTTTTCTATGTTGCCCCCTATGACTGTTTCACGTCCTTTGCTGACACCCTCATTCCTTCGCCTTCCGTCTCAAGTAATAATTGTCATTTCCTTAGATACTAGCTTTTCCATAAAATTGTTATCCTTTTTCTTATATTATTGATTTACATACCAAAAGTCTTGTGACATTACATAGAGAAAAAAGCAAGCAAACAAAAACAATCAGAGCATTTTCCTTGAATACTGCATAGCTTAAAATTGAAGGCCTAAATCTTTAAGTCAATAATCCAATTAAATGAAACAATGCTAATTTATATATCGTAGGAGTTTGGTTTTATGTGATAAATGATACCTGCTTTTTAAAATGAAGAAATTAAGTGAAAGAATAGTGCAAGTGAGGTGAAGTGGCTGCATAAGGTAAATTAGACATTTATCTGTAGTTTCTAAAGTCTGTATTATGCAAGCCCTTGTTTTTGGTGTAAAGCGATATTTTTTTTTGGGGGGGAGGGGAGGATTGGTTTGGGTTTCTTGGTGCATTACTTAGAGGTTTGGTTGTTTGTTTTTTTACGTTTTTATAACAGATCCAGATCTGTCTCAAAAAAAACGATGCAATTTTTTCTAGTATACTTCTTTTACAGTATCACCTAGAAATTCTTCTTTCAAATAGCATAAAAAGTAATTACACATATATGCTAATTACAAAGAGCTTGTTATAGTTCACTTTAACAATTCTTAAAACTCAGCTCTAATATGCTAAAGCAGAACTGAACTGTCACTAGATTTTCCTACTCATTCCTGTAAAGAACATGAGAACTCCAAAAGTCAGAGACCTACTTGAATTAGAGTTTAAACTCTTGCCTGTAAAATTCATGAATATTTCTTTTAATATTTGACTGATGGGGGAAATGCAAAAATGCATATTGTACTACTTGTTTTCTTTAAATCCTTATTAGGGATATTGAAACGTCATATCCTTAATGCAAGTAATGGTAATACTCATCCATTCAAACACAGACAAAGTAGAGCAACATTAACTGGACAAGAAAAAAACGCAAATCAAGTTTTCCCATTTCTATAATTTTCTATTTCACAGCAAGTCAAAATTTAAGCTATAATAATTGGGAAGATTAATTATTAAAAGTTATTAAAATTATTAAAGAAACTATCTCCAATATTCTCTGTCATTCGTGTACAATAAATAAAATTCTATATTGGCCTCCATTTAACACCTTCCCATTTAATAAAATCAATAGCTATAAAGCAAGTTATATTTCAAGAACAAATGCCTTCACACTATTAAGAGCTTTATAAGCACCTAAGAATGCTAACTGTGAAGAGAGTTTTGTTCCGTTCTTTGCCATCAATCAGGAATTCTTAATCAGAATTTATCAACAATCTCTCATTAAATAGATTGAGTATAAGGTTTGTTTGCTGACAACTACATAAATATTTTTCCACCTTGAATCATTCCAAGAGGAATGATAAAAATAATATCTTCTGCTACAAATCCCTATTTTAAGTAGTAAGGACTGGTGGAAGAAAACAGACAAAATTTCATCACAATGTGACATTCATCAAAGATCAGAAGATTGTGAAAAAGCATCTTTAACAATCTTCTCATTCATATGTTTTCTGCATCACAGAAACCTCTACTGAACCTCTTCATCTCCAAGATATTAGAAAATTAACAAAATAATAGACATTTTACAATATTTCTAATCAGTTGATTTGCTGAGATGTTTTAGGAGTTTTATAGTAAATTACTAAAGCTGAATTGCTTCAAATTTAACCAGAACTTTAGCTACTCTTAAGCTACTGAGCTACTTTTTTGAACTTAAAAAATACATCATTTGAGTTTTCAGCATTTTGGGTTTTTGTTTATTTTTATAAAATTGGATTATTTCTACATGAGTACTAAAGCTTCCATTTCCTCAGTAGTGTAAATCCAAATAAGTTAAAATATGCCCAGATGTCCCAAGAAAGCATAATCTCCTATGATATAGTTTAAAAGATTCATAGAATTCAACAAGTCTTCATCAGTGACAGAGAGCAATTGAGTATCTGCTTGACTGCAGGTTTGCTGATGACACCAAGCTGTGAGTGTATTTGATACAATAGAAGGAAGGGACACCACCCACAGGGACCTGGAGAAGCTTGAAAAGTGGGCTCATGGGAATCTAATGAGATTCAAGAAGTCCAAATGTAAGATGTTGCACATGGGTCGAGTCAATCTCAGACATGACAACAGACTGGGAGAACTTGGGAGTTCTGGTGGATGAAAAAGCTAGACAAGAGCCAGCAGTGTGTACTTGCAGCCCCAAAGGGAAAGACAGGTGATTGTTCCCCTCTGCTCTGCCATTGTGACGGCCCGTCTGGAATACCACATCTACAGGAAAAATGTAGAGCTGTTCGAGTAGGATGAGAAGAGAGACAAGAAGATGATCAGAGGGCTGGAGCTACTACCAAAACCTAACTTTGTTTATATGAGTAGCTGTAGTATCAGCTTCCATCTCCATATTTTAAGCAAGAGCCATAATTCATTATTTTATTATTTCATGAACAAAATGTTCAAGGTGGAGGGTTAGGAATGAACCAATATGAAAACTAACATTATGTATAATATACTACAATTTTAAGGCAATTAGAAAAACCATCAGAAATGTAGTATTAGAACTCACAAGAAAGTGTATTTGGAGAGAATTCATCTTTACTTAGAAAGCAGCTGAATAGGTTGAAATTAAAGGAGGTAAAGTGTCCAGGCAGAATAAGAATTTAGACATAAAGCTTTATTTCTGATGTATTGTAAAATAATCGTGAGGCTTTTACCAAGAAAATGTGTATTCCATCACAACGTACTTACTCTCTGATTGTTGTCAGCCCAATTACCTATGTACAATGATTTGAAATAAAGGGTACATTGTATGAACAAAGTCATTAAACTGTAAGTTTTTAAAATACAAAAAAAAACCCTCAATTTCATATAATCTAAGGAGCAGCAGTCCTTATTGTAAAACTTCTATCAAATATAAAAGCACAAATAAAATTGTTCCAAAATGCTGCATATCAAAATCATGAAATAATTCAAAAAGCCAGCACTAAAACATACAAAATAAAGGGAAAAGGGAACATGGTGTAAAAACTAACAATTGCAATTGTCTCAGCAGGAGTACTGGAATAGACTCATCCTTACCTCTCGTAAGTTAAAAAATACATGAATTTTTTATTTCACTGAAATACTTCACTCTTCTACAGTGACAGTACCACATAGCAGAGAATTGCCAATAGAAGACATGCTAGTGCTGGAAAGGGTCTAGTTAAAACTTTTGTTCACATTATTTAAACAATGTTAAGATATTAATAGATTTTACCTTATTTTTCATGAACTTCGAGTGACTCTTGTAAACTTCTATTTGTTTGATTTCTTCTTCTCGATCCTCTGTATTCAGAACTCCATTTGTCTTTAACATCTGTATTTCATCTTCAAGGTCTCTTATATTGCGCTCAAGTGAAGCTATTTTTGTATCCTATATTATACAAAAAAAGAATATTGAAAATGATATGAATCTTGTATTTAAGACATAACAAAATTATTTCTGTTCTTACAGAAATAACAAATAATAAGACTGTAAAAATAGCTAGTAAAAATACAGATTGCATATACATTGTCATAAACCATGAGTAATTCCACTGAAATCAGTTTAAAGTAATATAGATTTTACATCTCTTTCATTAAAAAAAAAAAAAAACACACACACACCAGTACAATCCTACATTACATTGTAATGCCTGTAGAGAACACATCTTGGTTAGAACCATCTCTTCATTCATCCACAGTTAGGAATGAAGGGAGAATGGAAGAAACCCTTTATTTTGCACTTGCATATGGATGACATATCTTTATACTCCTAAGCACTTGGGCCTGGTTATTATTCCAAGCTCTTAAACACAAAGGCTAAATTTAGTCTAGAGAGGCTTGTCCATCAGAACTGCAGGAAGATAGGCCACTTCACTGTGTGAGCTGGCCTAAGGCAACTTGCAAGTTTCATCAGGGTTCGTACTTCTGCCTGCTGTCATCGGGAACAAAGATTGTTTCCTCACATAGTTTTCCTTCACCACATCACCAAGAGGAGATTTAGCACTTTTTATTATGAGTCTCAAAAATAAATAAACCCAAAAAACCACAAGCACTAAAAAATTCTGTATCACAGACAATAGTTGCCATGTGTGCCAGCACAGAAGTGACAGCATCCAGTGATTTTATTGATGTTGTTGCCAGTCATTTGGAAACTGAATAAATCTCTTCAGTGAGCATCAGAAATATATCCGTATTAACAGAAAAGAAGAAAAAAAAACTATATGATTCCACCAACCAGGAGAACTACCAATTAGGACCAATACAGGACTTCCAGTGGTTTTAAGACAACTGGTTGACATCTTTGTAAGGCCACCCTCTTTGAAAAATCATGACAGAACTGTCAGAGATTCTTAACAACTAGAGAAAGGCAAACGTTGTGCTCATCTTAAGAAGAGACAAAAAGAATTAAACTAATTGAACAATAGGCACAGCTTCACTAGGGACCTTGGGAAGTCTTCCTGGACAATATTTTTCATCACATGAAGGCGAAGACATTTTGGAACAGTCGCTATCGATCTACCAATGGTAAATCATTCCTGACCAACCCAATTGCCTTTGTAGACAAAATGATTATGCTTGTGGATGAAGAATGAAAGGTGACTGTCATTAACCTCAGCTCTAGCAAGACTTTGGAAACAACTTCCCACAGCATTCTTGTGTCCAAAGTTATGGTCTGTATGGGTGATCAACTGGCAAGAAAAAAAAAACGGTTTTATGATCACATTTAGAGCTGCTAATTGTTTGTTCTCTTCCTGGAAGAGTAATAAGGAGAATACCTTCAGGTCTGTGCTGGGACCTTTGGCATTAAGTATCTTTTTGATTTGATATGATAAAGCCTCAGGTACCTCTCTCATTACTCACACAGTGATTGTAGTACAGTGACCTTATGCCAGTCCGATTCCATTGACACATATACGTTTCAGTGTCTTGCCAGTGAGTTGTACTAAGGAATTGAGCAACTCTAGTTATTAATGCCATCTTCAAAAATGCCTTTGCAATGCTATTAATTGTAGAAGCAGGTGGATGCATTTCCTACACATCCTTCTTACTTGCCTTTTCTGCACTATTCACAACCAAATCAATGTCAAGTAAAATTTGTAAGTCTTTATCAGATCTCATTCCTTTAATGCATGTGTAAAAAAAAATAAAATAAAATAAAAAGCCCCATTCCATAGAAAACATCAGAAAATCACCATACTATGACTGTAGCAAGCTACAGAACACAAACAAATCTCATTCACACTATTGAGACAAAAATTAGCAGAGGAAAACTGTGTTTCTTCCATGGAAAAACTATGTGATTGGATAGTTTTGTTCCATCACACAGTCAAAGCCACAGCAAATGAGTCAGTCTATTCTGATAGAGATCACATGCAAAGAGAACGGCTCAGAAATGGATAGCAGGATAAGAACTTGCTCACAGCTGTACAAAATGGTCACAAAATATTTTATATGCATCAGAATCCTGGTAAATATACATAGCCACTTATCATTTGGACAAACTGGTAATTCTGCAAATACACCAGAGAGGCTGCTGGTTTGCCCATCAAACCTGAAGGTCTTCCTGTCTGCACAACTGCTGGAAAGCAAGGAACATCACAGCTCGAGGACAGCACAGACAGCCTGGAGCTCCCACTGCTGCCACAGAGGTAGCTGGGTTGGTTTACAGGATGGACAGAAAGTCACATAGCTTTGCTTTCACTGAAAATTTTGACAGAATAGGCATATTCCCATAAAAATTTCCTGATTCCACTGAATCAGCATTTTCCCACAGTAAACTTCAATGGAAATATTTTCAGTCAGCTCTTGTTGTGGCACAGGGTCTGGCAAACTTTCAGGAACTGAAATAGAAACAGATGCCATACATTTCCTTCAAACCACTAAGACTTATCTGCATTAGCAGCATTCTAACAATCCAAGTTAGTCTGTTGAATCACAAAGAAGATTCCTTTGCAGCAATATTGTGAGACAGACTGGTATTAAGTGGTACTGACAAACATTTTCTGCACTCTACGATTATGCATCTTTTCAGTCAAGCCCCCTAAATCTCTGTTGATAAGACTATCCATTTCTTTAAGCAGTAACTGATGCTTCATCTGCTTTATTAAACAGTGTTGCAGACAATCTGCAGAAGAGGATAGAGTTTTATCTATCCTTGGCCTAGCAGAAGTTCATCTCTCTGGAACACAAACCTCAACTTGCTTTTGTCCTGATGCTAACAAAAAAAACAACATTTCACAATGCAAAGGAGAGTGCTACTACAGACGAGTTTCCATTCAGTAATGAGTCATGTTTCAACTTAACTTATAAATCCAATCCCTACCCCCCCCAAAAAAAAACTACAGTACATTTCCTGAATGCTTAGGAAAGGACAAGTAAGGCAAAACTTTTGTAAAAAATACAGCATACCAATCTTTTATTCTCTGAATTGGTAAGTAATGAATTGCTACACTTACACAATTTCAAATAGCAGATACATTTAACAAATTACGCCTGTGTTACTTGTATCAGCAGCAAATAAATGAAAAATCCCTTTTTCTAGAGCTTGCAAATAAATGCCAATATACACAAACTCTATATTCAGCTAGTCTTACTTTAAACTCTTTCAAAGTAATATGGAGAATGCTGAGGTTTATTTCCAAAGACAAGGGAAAGTGAAAGATCATGCAGTCTTAAAAATAGGAGTATATTTCACTGCAAACATAACACACGTTTTCAGAACCAAATCCATACCTGAAATATCACAGCTGGATCAATACATAAAAGTGGCTCTTTCTGCAATTAAGGTAAACCATAAATATTTTGAATTACAGTTTGTTATTTTTAAAGACTTCAATTCTTGTTTCTAGATTATATAAGTTTCAGAATAGTCAATACTCTGCAGTTAGGCTTCATGCCTCATCAGTAGGCATCTTATTTCTGACTTTCTCTCTCAGAATCACTGGTTTAAGTCTGGAAATATATGAAAAAGATATTCAAATTTTGACCTGATTAAGTTGTTCAGGAATACATCCACCAAGAATGAAATAATGAAAAATGTTTCCTTTCACTCTTTTTGATTGGTAAATGATTTTGAATGGTAAACGATTTGGATATGAATCATAATCAAAGATCCCAGCTATCTGGCATCTGCCTACAACCAAAATACAACAAAATTTGCATGGGTGCAATGTCAATTAAAGGAATGCATTTCAATACACCAGGTTTATTTTATGCTTAAGCAAACAAAGACTTAGGCATGAGAAAAAATATGTTATTTGATCATGTATATCTGTAGTCACAAAGTCGCAAGCAATAGTTGTAAAAAAAAAAACCCTCGCCTGGCTTTCTGTGCAACTCAAGTAATAAAATCATATGAACTCTGTTAAATATTTATTTGCACCTTATGTTAGTGTATATTTGCTATCTCTAGCCTCAGAATGCTGTATTTTGTGATTTATTTATTTTCAGGCCTGGAGAGATCTCTTTTGTATAAAAGATATGTCATGTAGGTATACAGACTACAGTTTGATTTGTCTGCACAAAGCTAAACTCAAGTTATTCATTATAATACATCCGATAATCATTTTAAACATTCTGATGGCTCCTATCAGAACACTTCCCTGTTTATCAACACCTTATTTTTTAATCCACAGGCACTGAAAGAAAACAGCCTTTCAGTAGTGATGGTGCCTGAGCCAAATGTAACTGAACTCTGCCTACACTCCTTATAAAGCTCTTAGAGATGAGGTAGGGTGGAATTTGACCTTATTTTATAGAACACTTGTATAAAACACAACAAATATCAACTAGTATCCAACAGTGCCTCAACTTACTTAAAATTCTGTTCCATATTTAAACCAACTGTTATCCTCTGATATCCTTAGTTCTTAAACATCCTTTATCTACAAACAACTAAACCAGATCTTTCTTACATGCCTAATTGTCAGTAAAAATTCCAGTATATAATTCCTATTTCATGTCATCTGTACACCGTAAGCAATATATCCAGAACTGCAGGCAACTGTTCAATAATTACTTGTGTAAGAGAAGTCTATGCTTTCCAATATATGAACTGACTAACCCAACAGCAACCTCCGCAACTGAGTTATTTGTATGAAAAGTATTCTTTAAAAGCTCTCAAAGTAGCTGTTAGCAACCAAGGTGCTGGAGAAGTGGAGGGATCATGTTTTCCAACCCCTCCGAGTCACAGAACTATAGCCAGGTCACATTCTGTTCTACCTTTAAGTTGCTTCCATTCTTTTCCTTGCTCTCTGCCTTAGTTAGAAATCACCTGAGTTACTTATTTTGGAACGGATGAGAATAATTCACTGACTCTTTATGGTCTTTGTAACATTATAGTGAGGAAAACCAGTCAGAATGCCTTTCCTAATTCATTCAGACTCAATACAACACTGTATGTCAGTTAACACTCAAACTTCCCTGCTTGGGCCCTCTGCACAGGGCAGGGTACAGCCATGGTTTGCTATATTAGAGGGTAAGCTTCTCCCCCCTTCTACACTTAATGCTGCAGGGAAATCATTGCTTCAGTGCTTGATTATTTAAAGCAAATGTTCGGCTTCTTTGTTCTTGTGGGGTTTTTTTGTTTTCAAAACAAATGTTGTCTGGATCAAAACAATTGAAATTAACTTGCAAGCTTTCCAAAGCTGGAATTTGTAATGAAAACTGATTTTTAGACATGTGAATTTCAATATATTACATTTGTTCTCTTTTCAGTATTAGGCCTATTTTAGACCAATGCAATCCCAAAGCTGTATATAGTCATAGCAAAAGAAAGACTTGTATGCCTCCAAGCCCAGAAGCAGTTCTGCATCATGACTGCAACCTCACTCCTGGCAAATGAAAGCTCTTCATGAACAGGCACTGGCAGAGTAGCTCTAACTATATCATTATATTTTGATATTGCAGATATATCCCCATCCTGGCCCTTATTTCCTCATCCTTTCCAAAGAATTTTGGTACACAAAGCAGCATTGCAAATTATTTTGAAAACATAGATTTTACACTGTTGATCATCCACATGGAAGATCATAAACTATTCTAAACCCTCTATTTCAATATCCCCAAAGTTTTAAATTTGTAAGATAGAAAAATAATAGAAAAAAACTTGTTTCTCAGCCAGCTCCTTACTTTCTCACACTCATAAGATAACAAGATTTTGCAAAAAAAAACACGCTTTAAATTTCATACAGACTTCTGAACTGCAATAAACATTGAAGGTCCAAGGGAAACGCATAAAAGAATATGGAATACTAAAATTGATGCACCTTTTCCATTGTTCATATAATCCAAGCTAATTGGATTATTTAAAAAGCAGATACAGCATTTGGAAAACACAGTTACTGTTATTACTGTGTGTTTACTGCACAGACATGCTGAACTCATTTGCTCATAACAGAAGTCACTGGCAAAGTGAGGCCTTTAATTTGCACTCCCTTTTAAGAAGACTGAAATTAAAGACCATCATTAGCGTGTTTCAGACAGCACTGCCAACTCACAAATTATCTTGTGTATGGTACTTTTCTTCAAGACAGATTCCAGATTCAGGGAATTATGTGAAAATATCAGTTTTCTCATTTCAAATAAGTTTTTTTTTTTTTCTCTGTTGTAGGAATAAAAGACAAAACATTTCAGTAATATTATACATCAAAAAGAGGAAATTGTGCTTATGAGAAAGACAGTTGTTTCATCACGTTTTGTTGCATCACTCCGCTGATGAAGTTAACACTTTCCTTAAGTTGGATGTAAAACAGTGACAAAACAACAATCAACAGGCATATTATTGGCCCTCCTGAAACTTTTTTTTTTTTTTTTTTTTAAAGTTGGTTGGTTGGTCTTGTTTTTGTTGTTGGGTTGGGAGGAGTGTTGTTTGCTTTGTTTTGCATTTTGATGTTGATTTTTGAGTCTTTTAAAAAGGAATAGTTCTCCTTACTCAAAACAAGCAATGCTGTGCCTGTTTTTTTAATCAAGTCTTATCAAGAAAACAAAATAAGGACAGTTCATTCTCAGCACTCATTTTAAACATTTCAGTAAGCTGTTGAGAAATTTGTAGAAAGAAGAACTGTCAGACTGGTTATAAAAGTAAAATAAAACCTACAAGTGAATTTTACTGACAAACAGAAGATAGATTACACAAAATTGAGTTAACATCCGAAATACACACCTCACCACCAACCAGTGCTTCTACTCTGACTTGGCTGTAGCTAGCACTGTCAGTCCTGGCAAATCACAAGTATGGTTTTCAAAAGAGAATACTTCTTTAATGCAGGGACAATATCCAATTCAACACCAAACACTCAGTAAATTATCAGCATAGATAAGAATAGCTGCCATTTGTAATGCTACCACATTCAGTTCTGTGAGTTCTCATGGCCTAAGTGTGTCTTCATTTACAGAGCTTTCTCACTATGATTCCACAGGATTTCACGGTGCTTAAAAATGCTTAAAATCATGTTCCAAAACCAAGCACACATTAAAGACAAATGCCATAACTCTGAATGCTGTCCCCACTTCAGTTTTACTGCTGAACATGACATATGGTATATCTCTCAGGTCAGCTGAGGCTGGCTGTCCTGGCTGTATTCCCATCCTGCTACTTGCCCACCCCAATCCTCCTGTTGGGGGGAGCAGAGCAAGAAACAGAGAAAGCCCCAGTGCTGTGTTAGAATAGCTCAGCAATAACTAAAATATCAGAGTGTTAACAACACTGTTTTGATCACAAATCTGAAAGAGCACCTTGCAGGCTGCTGCGAGGAAAACTAACTCCACTCCAGCCAGAGCTAGTGCATGAGTTCAAGTTACTAAAAATAATGCAAAGGAAAACATGCAAACACTATACCTTCATTTCAATAACTGTTTGAAGAGCCTTCGTCTTTGCTGGCTCAGGCTGAAGCTGAGTTCTTCTATGTAATTCCTGTGGAGGAACACGATAGAAATAAGCCTGACGACTCATCTTTACATTATATTAATCAGTCATGAATGTATTGCAGGAAAAGACTGATGATCAGAGCATGCAACTCTAAATGCTACAGGTGCTTCCCTCTCTGTAATCCCTCTAGCATCACTGCAGTTCCTATCTTATATTACAGTCAACTCTGCTGGCACATGCGCTATTACTGAAGCCCCTATCAATAATTAACGTCAACTGTGACAAAGCCAGCAAGTAATTTCTTAGTCCAAATACAATCCTGCTGTTTCTGCCCAGATATCAAAATTTAATCCACTCAGTTATGCTACTAAATCAAATGCATTTAAGAGTCACTCAGAATCTGGTACTGTTCTTTTCTTTTAGTTTATCTACTGATATCTGAAATAAGTCATTTAAAGACATTATATTTAAATTTGACATTTTAAAGATAGTAATTATGCAGTGGGTTGATGCAACACCCTCGAGTGCAGCTATTACATTTTGGTTTTCCCATTTTCATTTATTTTTTATGCATCTTACACCACATAAGAGGAAAATAGATTTTAATCATTACATAAGGCATACAGTTAACAGAGTTAATGTCTACTGGTCTTTATAAAAAGTGAGGACAAAGATGGCATAATTCAGTCTTACAAAACATAGGAGCTGTACCTTTGCCTGAGGTATCTCAGTAAAAAGTTTGCACATCAATACAGAACAATGCAGAGTTGTCATGAAACGTCATCCATTAAGAACCTCTACCTCTCACACAAACTGAGCAGTTAATAAGAAAGCAATACTGAAACAGAACAGATTTAGCCATGCACAGGACACTTCTAAAGGACACAGCTACCAAGGCAGGTATCTTTTTCACCTTGTTCCTCCTGCACATCAGTGCTCTACATGCACTAATTTCATGACCATGAACTGCATGTTTATGCCTGGTAGCTAGGTTCTTTCACTGCAAATACAGCTTAGCTCATCCCAGAATCTGAGCTATTAAGTCTTCCAAATCATGCTTCTTCCAGATCCTTCTCATAAATCAAGAGGAAAAAAAAAAAAAGGTAATGATCCTAATTCTCTTTACCATCACACACTGCAAACATTCAGTGTTTTTACAGTAGCTGAAAGTGTTAACATAGCCAGTGACTAAACCTCTTGGATTCCCCAGAAATATAAATCCTCTTACAAAGAAGAGAGAGAGTTGGATATACTCTGTCTTGCCTATTCTGTTTTGCTCATTCTCCATAGATTTCATGGAAGGGATGTACAAGAACATAATGGTTAGACAGACCACTAAAATAGATTCCAACCTGAAACAGCCTATTGCTTAAAGCCATGCTAAAACACAGCTCTGTCTGCAGGAGTTGAATTAGGTGCAAGTATCAGAATGCATACTTATAGCTGAGTAAGTTGTTTTTGTAGTAAATATTACATATATTACCTTCACTAGTAAATATACACATATTATTTCTAACATGAGAACAATAAATTTCTGTTTTTGCACTGGCTGTTTAAGAAAGCATATCTGAATGGTGTGTTCCCCTTGGTTTTTGTACTTAAAACTAATTCTCCACACTTTAAATAGAAAAATCTTTGCAAGTCACCTATCCAGAGAGAGTCTCCCAATCACCACCTGCTGGTTATCGCAGATGAAACAAGTACACTAAGCAAATGTTTTAGAAAAATAACAGTGTGTCACAAATTTGTCATAACATCCTCCTACAAAAGTCATGGAAAAATAGCTGGCCAGTCATACCATTATCTGATCAGCAAAAATTACAGATAATTTTAAGATCAGACTTTGCTCCCCAAGGCCATATAAACTGCGCTGGAATACAAACAGGATTCTATACATTACCCAGGGAGACAAACCAGAGTTTCCACCCCCTAAGCCAAAGACAAATAGACTGCCAACAATGAGTATCCCTAGATGTCTATCATAGCATGAAGCCTTGCCTCATAATACGTTTCCTGTTTGCTTTATGAATCAATCTGATTCTGGCTGATTTAAAAGCTTTTCTTTCCTATCCCTAATGGTAAAATGATGCAGACAAAGATTCTGGAGAATCAGAATATTACTCCCACTTTATTATTTTGTGTGGGTTTTCTTCCAAACAGTTTCAAATGTTTGGAGACTCCCACCAGGCTCAATTCTTGAATTTATGTTATTCTATGTATGTTTTTTCTTTAGGGGTGCTGATTCAGAGAAACTACCACCTTATGAGTATGATAACTTACACTGATCTTTTTACTGACTGAGGTCATCTGAACGGCTTCAAATTTCAAACCAGGTTTTTATCCATTACATCATTTTTGGAATGATATTGCTTTATCTTTTAAATTTATTTTAATAAAAAGCCTGCAGAGCCCAATGAAACTCTATAGGTGATGGTTAATTTTTTTTGTTTTGGTTTGTTTTAAAAAAAAAAAAAAAAAATCCACACAAACTGAAAAAAAAACAAACACCCAGGCCTGCATTCAATCACATGGAGCTCTTGCTACTCATATCCATGATGAAATACTTTTGCCATCAATTCTGTAACCATCAAGGTCTAAACCATTAATCTCTCAGAGATGGAATTAATGGAATTCAACTTTCATTACATCACCTGACAACTGCTTCACTGCAATTGCAAGTATATCTGAGCAACCACTTCTGATATACACATTAATTATAATTCTGCATAATCAAATGCCCACACCACATAATCAGCACTGGGATTTCATAATGGTGGTTAGTTGTTAGGATGATTAACACACCTACGCTAAATTGACAGGTAATTAGATCTTCTTCACATTCTCTAATATTCTTAATTTCAGACAAAAAAAAAGTCTTAAATCAAGACTGGCTGTTGCTTTCTCCTGCCACGTCTCTGTAATGTGACAGTAGCATTTACTTGGTCTCAAGAAACTTCAGCACACACTTTTACTACTAATTTAAACTTCAAAAAACACTACGAAGAGGCAGCTCATACTAGAAACTTCCTTTAAAAAAGAACAAAGAAGAGTTGTGTTCCTTTGTTGAGAAACTGATAACAATACCTTGCAAGATTTTCTCATTACTGTCTAGTATTCAGCACCTGCACTACATAGCACCAGCTATATTAACACACTACTAATTTAAGCCAAAACAAAACTGCCTTTTTATTTCAGCTTTGCTATACAACATTTCATCACTTGGCTGGAGGAAAGCCAAGATGCTACAACCTCACCTTTCTTTCATTCTGTTTCTGGTGTATTTTGCTATGGTTGCTAAGACATCAATGAATCTGTTGTTCTGATTAGATGAGAGTGAAGTGAAAGTCTTAATAAAAGTTTATCTCAACATTGTCGATGCAGTACAACATTTTACCTTGTATTTACACAAGCTGCCCCAAATAGTGTTACACAAAGTGGTGAAATAAAAAAGGACTTTTGCAGACAAACAGGCAGTTTAGGGATATCATCCAACCCATGAAACTGTCAGTGAGTGCTTGCATTTCAAGCAGTAGTCTTTTACCGATTAAAGAACAGAAAGAAAATGGAGCAGTAAAACTCAAAAATTTAAGAAAAAATTCAGGAGATGCAAAGAAATAAAGACATAATACAACCGAAGATATCAGAATCTAATAACCAATGGAAAAACTGTACATGAGGCAGCGTAACTACATAAGTGAAAAACCATTCTATGAGTACATCTAGCTTTTTATATTTCTAATTGGAATGTACAAATCTGTAAATCACAGCAAGTAATGACATAAGAGCTGCTGCTTCTCCGAAGTTACTCAAAAAAGCAGACTATTTCCATTCTTCTGCAAAGGAATTCTTGGTATTCTACACTACCAGCTGTCTGAACATGAAAACTTAAACTGGGAGCATATTAATATTTCAATCGATCATTTCATTTATATAAAAGCACACCCACTTACCAGAAGTGTCTAAAGAACGCTGTTTCTTCAGCCAAAACTACCATTAAAAATATTAATCAAATCATACTTAATCAGAATATTACAAAGATGTAACTTATAGGAATTAATTTCTTTTTAATGTATAAGCTTATCTTCTCTTTCCTGTTTTTTATCCCTTTCCATCTAAGAAAACCTGATCAAACTATCTGTCTGGAAACTATAATTTGACCAACACAAAAAAATTCTATATTTGGCTCCAGTGTCTAGTAAAATAAAACAACTTCTAGCAAGGAATCTAAAAGTCATATTGCTATTGGTTGTTGTTTAATGATCCACTACCATCTCATCTACATACAAGCTCTATAAGAACCATTTTATATTTGACCAAATCTCTTTAACTGTGAATAGACTGAAGAAACGAAATAATGAATAAAAGCATATGAAATGAAGAATTATGGGAAACAATAAAACTCAATAGCTATGTGGTTCCATATTCAAGAAAGTTTCTTCATAAAATAGGTGCATTAGAATTTAACTTCTCAGTTAAGAGAGGTATTCAAGATACAGGCCGAATTCTCCCTCCATTTAGCATTTTTAACAGACAAGCATTAGTTGTGAAGAAAACAGAATTTATAAATGTAAGTTTCATGAATTAAGCACCAACAAACAAGCTCCAAAATACACATCAGCAATCCAGCACCACAGAGATGCCCAGCAAGTACCTCAGTGGTCTCACTATTTGTCTTGAAGAACTGTTCTGAAACTACTGCTTACCTAAACAGGAAAACTCGGTCACTTGAAGAAGTAGGGGAGGAATGGTGGTTTTCTGGATTTTTTTCAGGTTTTTGTTTGATTTTTTGTTGGTTTTGTAGCTTTTTGTTTTTGTTGTTGTTGTTTCATAATGACCATACTTCCATTTATTCTTGAACTCGTGCATAAAGCAAGGGCTTATAATATGTTCTAACAGTGTGCCTGAAGACAGACTCCAAGGGAAAATAGTATGAGTTTTCGAAACTCAGATTTTGACTTGGATGTCAAAAACACCTTAAGTAACCACATATGTTGTCATTACAGAAGAGTGTCCTCTGGCAAGAGACTTCACAGGAAAAGGTTCAATCAAAAAGGTAATTTGTGTATGGAGTTTGAAATGCATGA